GAAAGAAAGAAAGAAAGAAAGAAAGAAAGAAAGAAAGAAAGAAAGAAAGAAAGAAAGAAAGAAAGAGAAGGGGAAACAGGGTCAAGTCCTGGGATACAATTAAACAGGAAACAACACTTTCAAACCAGAAGCAGGACATTTATTCAAGCACGGCAACGTAGGGAAGAGACTCACGATGCTCCTCATGAGCTTGTCCCCGCCGCTGAAGGTCACGGCCAGCATGGAGGCGCACTCCTCCGCATAGAAAGGCATGAAGCCCATCTCGTCCACGGCTCCTGCAGAAGGAAGGAAGGAAGGAAGGAAGGAAGGAAGGAAGGAAGGAAGGAAGGAAGGAAGAGGCATAGCATGGGCTTCAGTGGAGTGGATTTGGGAAGGAAAGGGGGGTCCAACTCACTTTGGTGGAATGGCCCCCCCCCCCCCCCATGCCTAGAACTTCAAGGATCCAAGTCCAGTATGCTGAATGACTACAACAGACTAGTCAAATAATTGTTGCTGAAGTTGTTGTTATTATTGTTTACCACTATCACTTTGCGATCCCTGGAGAGGGAGAGGGATCACCCAAATTTCCCACTTGCTGTACATGGATGATCTAAAGCTTTACGGAAAATTGGAAACTGAAATCCAGTCACTGACCCACACAGTCAGAATCTTCAGCACTGACATCAGTATGTCATTATTATTATTATTATTATTGACACAAAAGCACGGTATGTCACAGCAAACGAGATCTATATGCTGGATTTCGTATCACAAAATCTCAACTCAACTCCCAAGTGTCTAGGACCATTTTTATAATAATAATAATTAACAATAATTATTATTTAATAATTATTAATTTAATATTATTTTACTGACACAGAACACACAGTATGTCACAGATCTATATGCTGGATTTCGTATCACAAAATCACAACTCAAACACTTCCCAGGCATCTAGGACTGTGTGATGTATTATTATTATTATTATTATTATTATTATTATTATTATTACCAACATCATCATCCCCATTACAATGGCTTAGCACCTATTCTTCTTATTACTATTACTCACCCCACCCAATGGTTGACAATTTCTGATTATGGTGATGATGATGATGACTATTTACCCCACCCAATGACTTAGAACCCATTAATAATAATAATAGTAATAATAATAATAATAATAATCACCCCAATCAATGGTGCACCACCTATGATGATTATCATCCTTCACACAACCCAATGACTGAGAACTGATTATTTGTATTCTTATTATTCATCCCACCCAATGGCTCAGTCCCTATGATGATGATCATCATCATCATTCACCCCATCCAATAGCTGAGCACCTACGATGATGATGATGATGACGGTTACTATTATGCCCCGCGCCTCAATGGCTGCACCTAAAATAATCAGCAGATCCCAAGGGAAGGAGGAAAGCGCCCTTCCCCAGACGCCGTGATTACCGATGGTGACGGTGTAGATGGAGTTGGCATAGCCGTCGTAGTTGCAGTTGTCGTTGTGGTGCCCTCCGTTGCCGCTGGCCACCACAAAGATGCTGCCGAAGCCTCGCCGGCCGGCCATCACCCCATGCTGCAAGGCAGCCTGCGGAGGAGGAGGAAATAATCATGATATTAATAATGATATTTATTTATTTATTTATTTATTTATTATTTGCTATACTTGTATACCGCTGTTTCTCAGCCTAGCCGGCGACTCAACGCGGTTTACAACAAAATACAACAATCAACAGTATACAATTTAAAACCATAAAAGCATGATACACAATATTCGCACATCAATAACAATCCAATGCATCTCCTGACTAAAATCGTGATCCAGTTTCGTCGTCCATATTACCAATCCTTTAATCATTACATTCATTGCACCGAATTAACCAAATGCCTGTTCGAACATCCAGGTTTTTAATCTTCTACGGAACACCATCAGCGAGGGGGCTGATCTTACCTCCATGGGAAGGGCGTTCCATAGCCGAGGGGCCACCACAGAGAAGGCCCTGCCCCTCGTCCCCGCCAGCCGTGCCTGTGAAGCAGGCGGGATGGAGAGCAGGGCCTCCCCAGAAGATCTTAGGGTCCTGGTGGGCTGATAGGCCGAGATACGTTCGGATAGGTAGGTTGGGCCAGAACCGTTTAGGGCTTTAAAGGCCAACGCCAGCACTTTGAATTGAGCCCGGTAACAAATCGGCAGCCAGTGGAGCTGGTGCAGCAGAGGAGTTGTATGCTCCCTGCGCTCCGCTCCTGTTAGTATCATGGCCGCCGAACGTTGGACTAATTGGAGCTTCCGGGCAGTCTTCAAAGGCAGCCCCACGTAGAGAGCGTTGCAGTAGTCTAAACGGGATGTAACCAGAGCGTGGACTACCGTGGCCAAGTCAGACTTCCCAAGGTACGGGCGCAGTTGGCGCACGAGTTTTAACTGTGCGAATACTCCCCTGGTCACTGCCGAAACCTGTGCTTCCAGGCTCAGCGATGAGTCCAGGGTCACACCCAAACTGCGAACCTGCATTGTCTTCAGGGGGAGTGGACCCCATCCAACACAGGCTGTAACCCTATACCCTGTTCGGCCTTACGACTGACCAGGAGTACCTCTGTCTTGTCTGGATTCAGTACCTCAAATAACAATGCTCAACTAGTGTTGAGGCCTGTGAAGCCTCTGAGGATGAGGACAGGGACTTTCTGGTTGAGCCTGGTGTTTCTGTGCAGGAAAACGAAAGTGTTTTTCTCGAGGATGGGAATGTTTTGGGTAGATCTGTTGTCGGGGAAACTGTCATGTCAAGCAGTTGGGCCGGTAGGCTGTTAGGAATTGTGGGAGCTGGAGTCCAAAACACCTGGAGGGCCTATGCTGAACATTATTGGTTTTTCGGGTTAAATATGGAGGCAAGATCACCGATACCTTTCCAAGCTGGTGAGGCCCGTCCACGGTTTTGCCGTCATCGTCTGGACCCCAACTGCAAAGAGAGGGTCCCAAAACAAAAGGCATGAAACTTAAAGAGTCCAACATGGAAGAAGTGTGATAAAGACACTTGGAACAATCCGTGGTTCTAAATGGTTCTAAAGTACTTACAAAGCTAAAGTTCTGGTGGTGAAAATTTCAGAACTCTAACAAAACTTTCAAAATTTAATTATTATTTCATTATTGGTGATTTTTTAATGACAGAACCAATTAGGAATTGTCATTTATAATAAAATTTTGAGAGTTTTGTTAGAGTTCTGAAATTTTCACCACCAGAACTTTAGTTTTGTAAGTATTTAGAATCATTTAGAACCATGCATTGCCCAGGCCTAGTGAATACTATTATTCACCCCAATCCAAAAAGTGGGTGCTAGAAACAATATCATACGAAAGCTGACTGGCACAACCTGGGGATCACAACCAGATAC